GTAGAAGAGATGTCTGAGAACTAAGCAAGACTGAGAGAATAACTTTCCACCAATATAATCTCCCTAAATCAGAGCTGCATATCCAGCTCATTGTACTTGCAAAGTGATGTGTAAATAATTGCACTGGCAGTCAGGCTAGAGTGTTGTGTCAGTCTGTTTATCTTGTAATCTGGCTGCAGGTCAAAAGTAAAAACAGCATTTTCTATTGTGGCAAGCTTTGGAGAAAAAGGCTAAACTGATCCTTCCCACAATGGCCACCGAGGCTCTGCACAAAAGCTTTGGGTCTCACGTGGGCCTTTTCAAGGCTGCGTGTTGCTGAGCTTGCAGGGATTGTGCTCATTCTGCACTTAAACTGGCCAAGAGGCAGCAGTATAAAAGTAGAGCTGCCTCCCTGACTGAGACCACAGCAGCCTCCTTGTTTGACCATCCCACCACAGACACAAGCAAGTGCTTTGCTCGTCTGTCTCAAGGTGAGTCACTTAAGAGTTTATACAAGAGTTAGAGGGAAAGAATGTACTGGATCCAGTCAATGAAATGAACACTGGTCCTTGCCTGTTTATATTTCACAAGTCTTGCAATAGAGCTTGCTGTTAGTGGTGATTGCAACTGTGCAGTCCCCTCCATAGGTAAATGATTCGGATGTGAATATAGGAGAAATGGCTCGCAAGTTTGCAGATGACACCAAAATTGGAGTCGAAATGGACAGTGAGGAAGGTTACCTCAGAGTACAACGGGACCTTGATCAGATGGGCCAATGGGCCGAGGAGTGGCAGCTAGAGTTTAATTTAGATAAATATGTGGTGTTGCACTTTCATAAGGCAAATGAGGGCAGGACTTATACAGTTAATGGTAGGGCCCTGGGGAGTGTTGCCGAACAAAGACATCTAGGGGTGTAGGTGCATTGTTCCTTGAAGGAAGACAGGATGTTGAAGAAGGCGTATGGCATGCTTGCCTTCATTGGCCAGTGCATTGACGTTAGGAGTTGCTGTACAAGACATTGGTTAGGCCACTTTTAGAATACTGCATTCTATTCTGGTCTCCCTTATACAGGAAAGATGTTGTTAATCTTGAAAGGGTTCAGAAAATATCTACAAGGACGTTGCCAGGGTTGTAGGGTTTGAGCTACAGGGAGAGGTTGAATAGCCTGGGGCTATTTTCCTTGGAGAATCAGAGGCTGAGGGGTGATCTTATAAAGGTTTATAAAATCGTAAGGGGAACAAATAGGGTTTTGAGGGATATGGGCCAAATGCTGGCATATGGGACAAGACTAATTTAGATTAATTCATTGGAAGGGGCACTGAGTATAAGGATAGGCAAGTTATATTGCAGCTTTATAGAATTTTACTTAGGCCACACCTGGAATATTGCGTACAGTTCTGGTCACCACAGTACCAGAAGGATGTGGATGCTTTGGAGAGGGTATAGAAAAGGTTTACCAGGATGTTGCCTGGTCTGGGGGATTTTAGTTATGAAGGAAGGTTGGATTTGGAACTCAAGAGGTTGAGGAGCAACCTGATAGAAGTTTATAAGATTGTGAATGGCATGAATAGAGTGAAAAGTATGCATCTTTTTCCCAGGGTGGAGGGGTCAATTACTGGGGGCCACAGGTTCAAGGTGTGAGGGAGGAAAAGAGATGTGTGAGGCAGGTTTTTCACACAAAGGGTGCTGAGTGCCTGGAACGTGCTGTCAGAGGAGGTGGTGGAAGCAAACACAATAGCAGCATTCAAGAAACACCTGGACGAATACATGAATAGGAAGGGAATAGAGGGATACGGATTCTGTAAGTGAAGACAGTTTTAGTTTGGAAGGGCAAAATATGTCGGCGCAGGCTTGGAGGGCCGAAGGGCCTGTTCCCGTGCTGTATTGTTCTTTGATATCTGGTCAGCATGGAGGAGTTGGACTGAAGGGTCAGTTTCTGAGCTGTACAGCTCTATGACTCTATGGGAGATCTGGATTGGACGTGAGCAATTGTACATCTCCTAAACCCACTTTGGAGAATCTACAACCAAACAGTACCAACACTCGCTAGGGCAGTGTAAGTTCCAAACAATGAATTCAGTGCCAAGCCAACTACAGACGACCCAAGACAGGGAATAAGAAGTTGGATTAAGAAAGAGAGACAGAGACTAAAGGTTGAAAGGAGAATAAAAAAAGTGGGTGCCACATTATAGGAAAGATGTGAATGCGTTGCACAGTGAGTGCAGAAGCGATTTACAAGAACAGTTCCAGGTGTGAGAAACTACAGTGATGAGGGTAGATTGAAGAAGTTGAGAGTGTTCTCCTTGGAGAGGAAAGCTGAGAGGAGAATAGTTTGAAGTTTTCAAAATCAGTGGGCTGGGCAGAGTAGCTAGGGAGAAATATTTCCATTTGTAAAACAGAAAAGGAAAGGGCATAGATTTAAAGCAAAGGGCAAGTGAAGCAAGGGTGATATGAGGAAAAAAAACCTTTTCACTCAGCAAGTATTGAGGGTCTGGAATGCCCCTCTTGGAAATGTGGTGCAGGCAGCTTCAATTAAACTATTCAAGAGACTATTGGATGATTACTTGGATAGAAATAACGTGCATGGGTATGGGGGAAAAGCAAGAAATTGGCACAAGGTGTAGAACAAGTGCAGACTTGATGGGCTGACAGGCTTTTTTGTGCTGTAGACTGCTATGACTCCGTGACTTACATCCCCCCAAGTATGTCTTGCTCAACAGTGTCCCCTGGTCCTTGTACAATCAACTAATGGGAATGGCTTTTCTTCCTTACCCCTATCTAATCATGTACTGTGCTGGTCTGTCTTCCTCAAAATCTCCTTGTTCCAAGGCGTATGTATGGTTATGGGACATTCTCACTAGTCAAGCAAGCATAGGATTAGATAGAATCTGTGCCAGTAAAGGCAGAGTTTACAAGAGGGAGGGACACAAAGAAAGTAATAGTGCTTGTAAGGGGGTAGGGGATTACAAAGCATCAAACAAAATTTGCTCGAGGCAAGATCCTGTGCATGGAGTCCTTTACATGGGGAGTCTGTTTTGTGGCTGCTACGACATGGTTTAGACTGATCAGGACATTCCTGGTCTCAGTGCCAGCTATAGGTTGTATCAGGAGGATTTACAGAATGATAACCAGCTGTGTGTTTTGCAACAGAATGATACATTTTCAGTGGCCTCAGGGAGGACTTGAATCTGGAACTGCTGCTGTAGAAATAGGGGCATCATCCACTACACCACAAGACCTCCCAAGTCAGGGACTCTGGTCAGTAAAAGTTGGGAGGTCAGTGGCCACAGGAGATGGCAGGTTTGAGGCGTGGCAGTAAATGTGGGTCTGTATGGATGGAGAGAATAAGGGAGGAGTTGAGTGAAATCAGAGGAGAAGGAGCTTTGAAAAGAAGAGACTGACCAGGTGATCAATCACCAGATGTCAGATTTACAATTGCTTAAGGAGGAAGCAGAACACCAAAGCTGAGAATTACTGCAGGCCTTGTTATAGTCTCCTTACAGCACAGAAGGAAGCTGCTGAGCTCAACCAGTCCATGTTGAAGCGTGCAGTCTCATTCTTCCATGCCATCCATTGGAAAGTGGACATAGAATCCCTACAGTGTGGAAGCAGGCCATTCAGCCCACTCTAACCCTCTGAAGAACATCACATCCAGACCCACCCCCTACCCTATCCTATCCCTTTCACCCTGCATTATTCAACACTAATGCACCTAGCCTGCACATCTCTAGACAATTTAGCATGGCCAATCCAGCTCCACAGTGGGAGGAAACCAGAGTACCCGGAGGAAACCCATACAGGCACGGGGAGAATGTGTAAACTCCACACAGACAGTCGTCCAAGGGTGGGATCAAACCCGGGTCCTTTGCACTCTGAGGCAGCAGTGCTAACCACTGAGCCACCATGCCACCCATGGTCAGATGATTTCAAAAAGAAACCAGGCAATCACCTGGGAGAAATAGATTTGCAAGGCTACAGAAATAAAGTGGAACTGATTAGATCACTCTTTGTCCACTCAATTCTTTACCCCTCGCCAAATCCAGGCTGTTAAAGAAGCCAGCTCCCGCTTCAGAGGAAATGGAGAAATCAACCAACTCAATTCAAGTGTGAGCCAAAAGAACTGTGGATGCTGTAAATCAGGAACAAAAACAGAAGTTGCTGGAAAAGCTCAGCAGGTCTGGTAGCATCTGTGAAGAGAAAAATGTTCTGAGGAAGGGTCACCAGACCCGAAGTGTTAACTCTGATCTTCGCTTCACACTTGCTGCCAGACCTGTTGAGCTTTTCCTGCAACTTCTGTTTTTGTTCCTCAATTCAAATGTGGATCATTTTAATTCATCCTCGTGTTACAGGCATCACTGCCAAGGCTGGTATTTATTTTCCATTCCTAGTTGCTCCTCAGAAAAAGGCAGTGGGTCTGTTCTTGAATTGGATTGAATTAACTTTATTGTCACATGTACTCACCTGAGTACAATGAAAAGTTTGCAAGTTGCCACTTACCATCTTAGGTCCAAATGTACAGATTCTTGGGTACAAATTCTTAGGAAACAAATTTAGAAAAATAAAGAAATAAAAAAAAATCCAGCATTACAGACCTTCAAAAGTACAAAATCATAGCAATAAATTAGAAAAATAATGAAGTAAAAAGTTCAGAATGACAGTCCTTCTACTGGTGCAGTCCTGTAGTGAAGATTATCCCCAGGTGCTGTTGGGGAAGGTGGTCTAGGGTTTTGACCGAGCAGCTATGAAGGAGTGATGCCCAAGTTGGGTTGGAGTGTCACTTAGAGGTGAAGGTGCCCCTGTGAACCCACTCGCCTTGCCCCTTTTGATGGCGTAGTCACAGCTTTGAAAACCTCACATCTCAGTTTGATATCAAGTGAGATAAATGGATGCGACTTGAGTGTTCCAAAGTGGAGAGTCAATAGTGCTGAAGGCAGGCCATCCAATACAAACAGGGCAGAGCGTTTAACCAGTGAGACACTGCTTGCTGTTTTACTGCTAACAATGTGTCCTTCTGCCCGCAGCTATAAAAGGTACAAGGGCGATATTTCAAGATGACGACCCAACCGATGGACATCATGGGCCAGTGGAAGATAACTGTCTGGGAAGAGCAAAACTTCCAGGGAAAACATTGTGAGTTTATGCTGGAATGTCCTAACATCATGGAGCGAGGATTCAACAAGATACGATCCATTAAGGTAGAATGTGGACCGTAAGTATCCGATGTCACCCTGGCCCCACACCCACACCAAGACAGCCTCCAAATCAAGTCCTCTGTATGGAGAAGAGGTGATGCAAGTTTCTAAATGTTGCTTGGACTTACTTGCTCATCCATTCAGATTATTGAAGGTCACAGTGGCTCAGTGGTTAGCACTGCTGCCTCACAGTGACAGGGATTCAGGTTCAATTCCACCCTCTAGCAACTGTGTGTGTGGAGTTTGCACATTCTCCCTGTGTCTGTGTGGGTTTCCTCCCACAGTCCAAAGATGTGCAGGTTAGGTGGATGGACCATGCTAAATTGCTGATAGTGTTCATGGATGTGTAGCTCAGGTGGGTTATAGGGCAATGGGCCTGGGTAGAATGCTCTGAGGGTCAGTGTGGACTTGCTGGGCCAAAGGGACTGTTTCCACACCATAGGGATTCTATGAAAACACTGGTGGGAATAGTTCATCAGTTCCCTAACAATAATTATGCCATTGGATTGAGCATTAGACAATAAATTATTGCAGCTTGTATCAAAAGAAATGCAGTAGTTGTGCAGGATTTTAATTTTATACAGATGGAACCAAGCAAATTTCAAAGGATGCCTTGAAGTTGAGTTCATGATAATTTTCTGGAGCAATAGTTTTTTGGAATCAACTAACGATAAAGCTATTTTCAATCTAGTATTATGCAATGCGGTAAGGTTAATTTGTGTTTTCATCATAAAAGATCTACTAGGAGATAGTGAGCATAATACAATTGAATTCACATTATGTTTAACAGCAACATACTCCAATCATACATGAACATTTTAATCTTAAAAAACAGCCAACTATGTGGGTATGAGGTAAGAACTCGTGAAGTTTGAGTAAGTAGACTAAAAGGTATTCCGGAAAGGGAAAGCATTTAAAATTAAGTTCCGTAAGAAGGGTCACTCGACCCAAAACATTAACTCTGATTTCTCTCCACAGATGCTGTCAGACATGCTGAGCTTTTTCGGCCATTTCTTTTTGTGTTTCTGATTTCCAGCATCTGCAGTTCTTTCGGTTTTTAACAAATTAAAACGATCGACAAAAATACATTCCATTGAAAAGCAAAACTTCAGTGAGAAAGATCCATCCTATGGTTTCCTGAGGAGTTACATATATCAATAAATTTAAAGAAAAGGCTTATGATGTTGCAAAGAATTGTCACCAAGCTAAGGATTGAAGGTCCTCAAAAATGTTGCTAGAAAGATAAAGGTAGAGTATGAGAGTAATTTAACCAGCAATATAAAAACAGATTGTAAGAGCTTTTGTAAGTACACACTAATCAAGGAAGAGGTTTAAATAAATGTTGGCTCTTCAGAAGCTTTAGGGGTGGCATGGTGGCTCAGTGGTTGGCACTGCTACCTCACAGTGCCAGGGATCTGGGCTCAATTCCAGCCTTAGGCAACTGTCTGTGTGGAGTTTGTACATTCTCCTCATGTCTGCGTGGGCTTCCTCCAGGCACTCCAGTTTTCTCCCACAGTCCAAAGATGTGCAGGTTAGGTGAAATGGCTATGCTAAATTGCCCATAGTGTTCAGGGATGTGTAGATTTAGAGGGGTTATACAGTATGTGTCTGGGTGAGATGTTCTGAGTGCCAGTGTGGACCTGTTGGGCCAAAGGGTCTGATTCCACACTGTAGGGGTTCTATGGTTCATATGTTTAATGTGAGCTTAAGGAGAAATTGTCATGGGAATAGGACAATGGCAGACACCTTGAACAAATACTGAGGAAGAGTCTCAGAATATGAACACTGTTTCTCTCTCTCCCCAGATGCTGCTAGACATGCTGAGTTTCTCCTGCATTTTCTGTATTTGTTTCAGGTTTACAGTGTCTGCAGCATTTTGCTTTATTTACATTTACATAATTTGTATTTATCTTCACAGTGAGAGATACACAAGTTAAATAAAAGGAAGAGGGTGATTCCCTAGGGTCTAGAACAGTCCCAAAAGTTTGGAAGTTAGCAAATGTAATGCTGCTATTCAAAAAAGCAGAGAGTGAGAAAATAGAGAACAGAGGATTACAGACCTGTCAACAATCTTCAGGAAAATGCTGGATCTATCAGTAAGGAATTCCTAACAGTACACCAGGAAAAGCATAGCATGATTAAAACAAGTCACTATATCCAGAGAGGTGATGGCCTAGTGGTACTATTACAAGGCTATTAATCCAGCGATACAGTAATGTTCTGGGGATCTGGGTTCAAATCCCACCTTGGTAGGTGGTGGAATTTGAAATCAATAAAAAATTTGGAGTTCAGAGTGTAATATGACCATGAAATCATTGCTGATTATCTGAAAGACGCATCTTGTTCACTAACGTCCTTTAGGGAAGGAAACAACCATCCTTACCTGGTCTGGCCTGCACGTGACCCCAGGCCCACAACAATGTGGTTAGCTCTGAAATGCCCTCTGGGCAATTAGGGATGAGCAATAAATGCTGGCCTAGCCAGTGATACCCACATCCCATGAATGAATAAGAAGAAAAAAATAATTTATAGAACAGAAATCATGTTCAAAAAAGTTATTAGATTCTTTTGACGATGTAACCAGGGTAGGTGAAGTAGAACCAATCAAAGCAGAATGGTTGGATTTCTAAAATACTGTTCAATGAAGTGTCACACAAAATGTTAATGTACAAGGGAAAGGGCTCAGAGAGTTGAGGGTGATATATTAACGTGGTAGAGAGGTTAGGGGATAGGAAGCAGACAGTAGGCATAAATGGAGCATTTACAAGTTGCCAAGCTGTGACTAGTGGAGTGTTGCATTGGTCATTACTTACAACCTAAATTAATCACATAGACTGTGAGTAGCGTATCTATCTGGATTAATCTGCCTGGTTTCTGGGCCAATACTTAACTTCCAGGCAAAGTGGTTAAAACAGACCACCTGGTCATTGTGATATTGCTGCTTCTGGGAGCTTACTGTTCTCCAAGTTACTGCTGTGTTTCCCTACTATAGAATTGTGTTTGCACTGAAAAGGTAGCTTATTGGCTGAGAAACATTTTGAGATGCCCTGATGCTGTGAAAGGTGCTATATAAATGCAAGCCTATTTACCAGGTGTAAGCCCATACCTTCCAATGAAAAAGAAAAATTGCAAGAGGAGGACCCGCCATCCATGGTTAACCAACAAACTTAAAGATTCTATTAAACTTAAAACCAGTTGTTGTAGCACAGTGGCAATGTCCCTACCTCTGAGTCAGGAGACCTGGGTTCAAATCCCTCTTTAGTTTCATAGAATCTCTACAGCATGGAAGCAGGCCACTTGGCCCATCAAGTCCACACTAACCCTCTGAAGAGCATCCCATCTAGACCCATACCCTACCCCATCCCTGCATTTCCCACCTTAGGTACTATGGGTAATTTAGCATGGCCAAACCACCTAACCTGCACATCTTTAGACTGTGGGAGGAAACCACAGCAGCCAGAGGGGGTCCATGCAGACATGGGGAGAACATGAAAACTCCACACAGACAGTCACCCAAGGGTGGAATCGAACCCAGGTCCCTGGCACAGTGAGGCAGCAGTGCTAACCACTGTGCCACCTATATTTTGTTTAAGTTATTTTTCCTAATCAACCTGTTCAGAGATGTTATTACACTCCTCTGGGACAGGTGGGACTTGAACCTGAGCCTCTTGGTCCAGGGGTAGAGACATTAGCACTGTGCCACAAGAGGGCTCCAGAGGCGTGTAATAACATCTTGGGGCAGGCTGGTTAGAAAATATCGATAATTGCAGGTAAGTAGCAGGTCAGAATGCAATGTAATTGAGAGATGTTGTTGTTTTTGCCAAGAGAATTGAACAAATGAGGGAGATTATGCTTCAGTTGTATAAGGCACTGGTGAGACCACATTTTTTTTTGATTCATTTGTGGGATGTGGGCGTCGCTGGCTGGGCCAGCATTTCTTACCCATCCCTAGTTGCCCTTGAGAAGGTGGTGGTGAGCTGACTTCTTGAACCGCTGCAATCCTCCTGCTGTAGGTTGACCTACAATGCTATTAGGGAGGGAATTCCAGGATTTTGACCCAGCGACAGTGAAGGAATGACGATATATTTCCAAGTCAGGATGGTGAGTGGCTTGACGAAGAACTTGCAGGGGGTGGTGTTCCCATGTATCTGCTACACTTGCCCTTCCAGATGGAAGTGGTCGTGGGTTTGGAAGGTGCTGTCTGAGGATCTTTGGTGAATTTCTGCAGTGCATCTTGTAGCTAGTATACACTGCTGCTACTGAGCGTCGGTGGTGGAGGGAGGGGTACTTTGTACGTTGTTGGTCTCCCTATTTCATGAAGGATTTGAAAGTATTGGAAGCAATTCAGAGAAGGTTTACAGGACAAATACCTGGAATGGGTCAGTTCTTCTATGAGGAAGAAATGGGTAGTCTAGGCTTGTAGCTGGTGGAGTTCAGAAGAGTGAAATGCGACGTCATTGAAACATATAAGATTCTGAGGGGCATTGACAAGGTGGATTTGGAAAGTATATCTCCTCTAGTGGGAAGATCTAGGACTAGAGGTTAATTAGAGGGTTATCCATTAAAGGATAACCCATTTGAAACAGAGATAACAAGAATTATTTTCTCCCAGAAGGCCTTGAGTCTCGCTCAAAAGGCACTGGAAGCAGAGTCTGAATATTTTTAAGGCTGAGGTAGATAGATTCTGGATAAGCAAGAGGGTAAACATTTATCAGGAGTAGGATAGTGGTATAATCAGGTCAGCCTTGATCTTATTGAATGGCAGCGGAGTTCAAGGGGTTAAGTGGTCTATTGCCATTCCATAATTGGGTGTACTCCTATGTTCATGTTTCTCTTGTAGTGTGCAAGACATGTGACAATACTTGGGGACAGAGTTTAGTGAAGAGGAGAGGGGTAAATGTTGGCCAGGCACCTGACTGTCCGCTGATGGAATCCCAGGAAGTGTGAGTGCACAGATGTAAGTTGTGGACAGTTTTGGGCCTGGCTATGATTTCCCAAGTGGTCAAAGTGTCTGTTGAAATTCACTGTGAAGACTTTGGAATGAAGAACTTCCTCTGGGATTGGCTTTGGAAAGAACGCCGTGCCTGAGGAAGCGTATCCTGGCATGAGTTGGCACCTAAAGAAAAGGTGGGTGACAATGGTGAGGAAACTGAACATGGACAGCAGTTATGGTAAGCTGCCAGAGGAAGTGGTGGAGGCTGGTACAATTACAGCATTTAAAAGGCATCTGGATGGGTATATGAATAGGAAGGGTCTCGAGGGATATGGTCCAAATGCTGGCAAATGAGACTTAGATTAATTCAGGATATCTGGTCAGCATGGACGAGTTGGACTGAAGGCTTTTTTCCAAGCTGCACATCTCTCTGACTCTATGTCAGGTTCATGAAAAGTTGTCTGTTCTTGTGGAAATCTCACTGACTCTATTATCTCCTTCTCTCACTTGCAGGTGGGTGGGATTCGAGTATCCAGAATTCCAGGGGCAGCAGTTCATTCTGGAGAAAGGTGACTATCCACACTGGGATGCCTGGAGTGGAAACAGTGGCTACAGAACAGAGCACATGCTCTCCTTCCGCCCCATCAAGTGTGCCGTAAGTCTATCGTGATCTTTGATTCTTTTTCTCATAGCCCATTCAGCTCCCTAACCCCCCAAGCCTACAAGGATCAAAACAAGACAATAACGAAGGGCTAGTTCCTTTTGGTGATACACGTAATTAAATCTCAAACATGCTTATTATGAATCAGGTAGTTGATTACTCAGTGGATAGAGTATAATTCCCCAACTTAACAGAGGAAGGATGTTCTGATGATGGAGGGAGTACAGCGAAGGTTTACCAGGCTGAATCATGGGATGGTAGTGCTAATGTGTGAAAACGGATTGGATCAGTTAGGACTATATTCACTGGAGTTTAGAAGAATAAGGGGGGATTGTATAGAAACCTATATATAAGATTCTACTAGGACTACACAAGTTGATCTCTCTCTGCACCTTCTCAGCAACTGTAACATTGTGTCCTGCACTCTGTTCTGCTACCCTGCAATACGTGTACAGTACGATCTGCCTCTGAGCACGTAAGACAACAATTTTCACTGTACCTCGGTACACCTGACAGTAATAAAATCAGATCAAATCAAAAACACAGGAAAGATGCTCCAGAAGACCCGGGAGTCCAGATCCAGGGGTCTCAGTTTAAGGATAGGGTGTAGGCCATTTAGGACTGAGATGAGGAGAAATGTCTTCAGCCAGAGAGTGGTGAGCCTGTGGAATTCTCTGCCATAGAAGGTGGTTGAGGCCAAAACATTGAATGTTTTTAAGAAGGAGTTAAATATGGTTCTTAGGGCTAAAGGGTATGGAGAGAAAGTGGAAACAGGGGACTGAGTTGGATGATCAGCTATGACGGTATTAAAATGGGGAAGCAGGCTCAAAGGGTTGAATAGCCTGCTCCTGCTCCTGTTTTCTGTGTTTTTATGTTTACCACCCCCTTACTGTACGAACTGGGTTACAAGTATAATACATGGGCTTTGGTGTCTTACGTAAAGAAGGCATATAGGATGCTTACGTTCTTTAGTTGGGGAGTACAATACAGGAACAAGAAAGTTTTGTTATAACTTGCAGAACATTTGTTAGGCCCTTGATGGTGTACTGTGTGCAGTTCTGGTCACCACACTACCGGGAGGACGTGATTACACTGGACATGGTGCAGAAGAGATTCACCAGGATGTTCAGAGATACTAAGAACTGCAGATGCTGGAGTCAAAGACAACACAGTGTGGAGCTGGAGGAACACAGCAGGCCAGGCAGCATCAGAGGAGCAGGAAAGTTGCTGCCTGGCCTGCTGTGTTCCTCCACCTCCCCACTGTGTTATCTCTGACTCCAGGATGTTGCCTGGCATGGAAAGTCTCAGTTATAACGAGAGATTGGATAGGCTGGGATTGTTTTCCTTGGAGCAGAGGACAGCGAGAGGGGATTATCTGATTGAGGTATACAAAATTATGAGAGGCATAGACAGAGCAAACCGTGAGAATCTCCTCCCTACGGCCGACATATCTAACACCAGAGGCACAACGTTAAGGTGAGGAGTAAGTGGTTTAGAGGAGATCTAAGGAAACTTTTCTCATCCAGAGAGTGGTAGAAATATGGAACGTGCTGGCTGAGAGGATGGTGGAGGCAGGTACTCTCACAACACTTAAGAAGCATCTGGACAAGCACTTAAAATGTTAGGGCATAGCAGGCTGTGGACCAAGTTCAGGTAAATGGGATTAGTGTAGCTTGGTAGTTGTTGGTTAGCATTGACACGATGGGCTGAAGAGCCTGTTTCTATGCTGTATAATAACACTTGTTGAAATGTGTAACATGTGAGATAATACATGGGGTAGAACACCTCACATGGTATGACATGATATAACCTGGAATATGTTTTGTGGATTGGAATAAGCCAAATGGATGATAACACACGGTCTGGAATGTGCTGCATTTGAGACTGAATCATATGGCGGTGGATGGAAAGTTTATTTGTTGGGTGTGGGGTGGGGTTTTGGCTGGGCAAGACACCTCAGAAGAAGTATTGTTTGGCAGCTGTCACATCAGAAAGAAACCTGCCTTACAGCCACTAGACAATGGGGAAGAGCGGGATTTCTGTCCCCTCAGTGGGAAGTACCCTGCACTACCCTAGAACAGAGGGCCTGCTTGATGGGTCTTGTAATTCCTGCAGTGCCAGGGAATTTAATACCGACTGAACAATTAGTGCGGTCACCCTTCCCCCATCGGTAGCCAAAACTAACCCACAACCGTTTACAATATACATGAATGACTTAGACGAAGGAAGTGAATGTACAGTCGCCAAATTTGCAGAGGACACTAAGATAGGTGGAAAGGCAGGTTGTGAGAGGGATACAAACAGTTTACAGAGAGATATCGATAGGTTAAGTGAATGGACAAAATGTTGGCAAGAGGAGTATAATGTGGAGCAATGTGATGTTCATTTTGGAAGGGAGAACAAAAGAACAGAAAATTATTTAAATGGAGTAAAACTGCAGAAAGCTGCAACACAAAGGGACTTGGAGGGGACTTGTGTACAAAACACAGAAAGCTAGCACCCACGTACAGCAGGTAATCAGGAAGGCGAATGGAATGACGGCCTTTATTTCAAGGGGTTTGGACTATAAGAGTAGGGATGTCTTAGTGCAACTGAAATGGTGTCCCTACCTCTGAAACAGACAGTATGGATTCAAGCCCTACTTTCTCTAGAGGTGTGTAACAACATCTCTGAGCAGATTAATGGAGCAAAATAGCTACAAGGTGCTGGTGAGACCACATCTGGGGCACTATGAGTAGTTATTCTTCCCTTATTTAAGGAAGGATATTGGTTTATTGGAGGCAATTCAGTGAAGGTTCACTAGGATAATGCCCAGTATGGAGGGATTGTAGGGAAGATAGAAGAATGAGAAGTGATCTCATTGAAACATATAGCATTCTTGAGAGATCTGACAAGGTAAATGCTGAAAGGATGTTTCCCTTCATGAAAGAGTCTAAGACCAGAGGGAATAGTCTTAATATAAAGGGGTGCCAATTTAAAACTGAAATGAGGGGGAAATTTCTTCCTGTAGAGGGTTGGAGTCTTTGGAACTCATTGCCACAGAGAGTTGTGGGGACAGAGTCCTTGTGTAAATTTAAGACTGCAATAGATAGATTCTCGATCAGTCAGGGAATCAAGGGTGATGAGGCAAAGGCAGGAAAATGGACTTGAGGAATGTCAGATCAGCCATGATCCTATTGAATGGTGAAGCGGGTTTGAGGGGCCGAATGGCCTATTGCTGTTCCTTTTTTTTACGGTCTGAAGGATGAATACCTAGGAAGATGGTTTGGTGGCAGTGAATCTAGTCAAGGCATCTCAGATGGTCCAGTTAACATCATCACAACATGCACCATGCTGACAGAGGACTGGACTTTGTCATCTACACCAAGAACATTTAAAGTTAGCATGCATTTGCTGCCCTCCCACAGACCTGAGATGCTGTGTACATATTTACAACACAGTCACTTGCACCTTTTCTCTCTGTTTCCAGAATCACAGTGACAGCAAGATCACGCTTTATGAGAATGAGAACTTCCAGGGCCATAAATTTGAGTTGTGTGATGACTACCCCTCTCTACAGGCCATGGGCTGGTGTAATAAAGAGGTTGCTTCCATCAAGGTGAACTCTGGAGCGTAAGTACTCAGTGGGGCATGTTGACACTAATTTCCGTTAAACGTCCATGCACCTTCCCCCACCACCGAGACTTTCCCCTCTGCAATCAGTTGGTTGGCCCCTCGTCCCAGTGGACAAGAGCCCCCAACAATTTTGATCCCCTCTGCAACTCTGTTAAATGATACATTTGATGACAAATACTGTTCAGAATGTGTCAGAAGATGAAAATAGATGGACACAGTGTGGTCTTGGTGCACTCACCAATTACACTTTCATCGCCTCACACTTCTTTATCGCTGCTCCATCCCTTCAGTCCTCCACGAAGCCTGTATTCCTCTGCTTTTGGCTGCTACTATAGCTCCTGATTTCCATCACTCTACCAGTGGTGGTCAGGCCTTCCAACATCTTAAGCCCTACCCTAACTGAACCTTTCCACCACTTCTCATAACCAGCCGCCTTGACCTCACTTTTGACCGATGTCAATGTTGTCCTGTGTGACTCAGTGTCAACATTTTTCGTTTGATGCCGCTCCTTTGATGCTGTTTCATGGCATAACAGGTTCTTTTTAAATGCACATCATTGTTACAGGTGGGTTGGCTACCAGTATCCAGGTTACAGAGGCTACCAGTACATCTTTGAGAGAGACAGGCACAACGGCGAGTTCAAGAACTACAATGAATACAGCACCCAGGCCCATACCAACCAGCTGCAGTCTATCCGCCGAATCCAGCACTGAGCAATGGGCTGTTCAGCTTTCTCCTTTCCAACCTGTATTAAGAAGTGCCTGCAGTGATCAATAAAACAAGAAGCATTCTGCAAAATATTCGAGAGTCGTTGCTGTATTCATTGCCCAATGCCTAATGTTTGGGACAATCTTGGGGTGGCGAGACTGATGTATGAAGGAAGACTGGTTGTTTAGGACTGTTCTTGCAGGAGTTTACAAGAATTGGTGGGGGGGAGGGGAGGAATATTATAATATTCTAGCAGGACTAGACAGGGCATGTTGACCTTTATAATGAGGGGATTCAAGTATGGGAGCAGGGATATCTTACTGTAATTGTACCGGACCCGATGTACTGAGTGAAGTTTTGGTCACACAGCAGGCTAAGCAGCATCATAGGAGCAGAAAGGCTGACGTTTCGGGCCTAAACCCTTCATCA